TTTTTTTTTTTTTTTTTTTTTCAAAAGGTGATTTTTGATTACGATGAAAAATAACGACACGTGTGATATTTACTTTGGTTCTTTTAGTATATAGTGATAACCCATTTTTGTTGCTTTTATTTTTTCTTCCTTTTTTTTTTTCCAATTTCCACACCAGCGCTGTAACAATTGCTATACGTGTAGCGGGATTGTACTTGGAATCCCAAAAGTGTATCTATAACCTGGCAAAAGCTGAAATAGATGGGATAGAAAGTCTGGGATTGCACGTCACCACCAAGGACTTGTCTCCAAGAGCAAGATTGGAGACCATATATCACCGGCGATCTCAAAGGTCTTTGCCAAAAGTTGTGTTATTCGTGCTTGCCTTAATGAGGACCAATGGAGACCACGAAACACTACGGCTGCTTCAACAGTGGGTGTTATTCCGTCAGTGATTGTGGTGGTTCCAGCAGCGATTGGAGCGATGTTGTAAAAGAAATGACCAAAAGTTTTAGCCAAACATTGAAGGTAGCTCTTGGGTTGATGGTTGATATTTTCCTTTTTCAGTAGCCATCTCCTTCTTTGCTGATTTTTTTCTGTTAATGCTTGAAACACATAGCAAGGTGGCTTTTCTTTTTTTGAACTTGATGCCAGTATATGCCAAAGAGATATATTTCAATTTGCTCATAGCCATTGACACTGATATTTACTCTTGCGGTTGGTATTTCATTTGATGCTGGGTTTGCCCCAAGAATGAATGGATATGGCTGGCAACACTGGAACACAAATAATTTTTTTGGACAAACCCATATGTGGATGCTTATTGAATGAATTCCCCTTTCCTTGACACTGGTTTTCTGTGGTTTCTTCCAGTAGCGTTATCCTTTCATTTGTTGTGGCTAATTTCCTCGAATTCTTGGTATAACTGCCCAAAGAAACTATCTTTTCCAGTGGCTTTTTGTATGTGATAGAACATGGTTAATGTATCGATTTTCCATAGACGGCGCCATCTATTGACCTTAAAAAATGCGCCAACAGAATCCCGATCACGTCTCCTTTACGTGGGCATCACCTACACATTGAACACCCCATTAGAAGACAAAGGCCACCGTCGAGAAAAGGGTCCGACGACCGTTTGCACTCCGACTATCAAATCAACCGTCAGATGAAAAAAAAATAAGTGCAAGAGACGAGAAATGGGATTTGGTTAGGATCGGAGAAGATACCTTATCATTAAAAGAACTCACATATTATATAAATAAATAAATGGGCCAAGTGGACATGATGTGCCGATATCCAAGCCCAATATGATATTGCTTGATTAAATAGGTTAATCCAGTTTTAAGATGCTAATATTTAATTAAATAGGTTCAATCAATTGAATAGTCAGTGTTACGTCAGCATGTATTTGACTCCATCTGTCTGGGCATGCTATGTAATTTATGGATATAGCATTTTCTAATAATGCCCATTAAAGCATTAAAAATATTAGAAGCATCATGAGGAAATTCAATTACTTTAAAAGCAATCTTTTTGTTATATGTTGTATACATTTTATCTAGGTAGTTTGTAGCAGCGGCTATGGAATATTTTTTGTTATTTCCCTTACATATGAGACATAAGTGATAAAACATCATTAAATTTATTTAAACATTTATTATCTAAGGCTTTTTTCATTGTATAAAGTAATAGCATTCGAACAATAGTATTTCTAGAATATTGTTTGTATGTGGATTGGAGATGATTCCTTATGGGCTTGGTCAATTTTTGCTTTTCACTATGTTAAGTGAAATCTCATTACTGACCATGAACATTACCATACTTTCAGCGTTGATTCTTGTGAATCCGAACTGGTAAGACAAGAACTAGAACTTGCATCACTTCGAGAAAAAAATTGGAGTTGAGACCAATTAGGTCCAAAGCTTCATATTTGACCGATCATTTTGTATTCCGTTTAGGTCGTTCCTATATCCTTTTGTCAAGATCACTTTTCTTTGTAGTATATGTATTGTGATTTGTACTTTGGTTTTTCGTCTACTGTCCTGTGACCACCAATTTGAAGTGTTCCCAACACTTAGCAGTTTCTTTCTTCGTTCGTCGTTTACTACTTGAAACTATTGTCTTCCATTCATCTTTTTTAATGTTATCCAAATCAATTAGATCAATGCTCCTATGACCATTGTCAGCACCCAAATTATCAAGAATTGAAATTCCATTACGACCACTAAAACCACGATCTAATGATGGAGACGAAGCACTTTTTGCTATATTGGATGCACCAAACATTTCGCCGAACTCATTAGTGTCCAAAATTCTACCATATCCATTTGTAATTGGAATAATCACTACAACAAAAATAGCATACGGCAACGTTCAAAAAGTGTTGCCGTAGGCCTACGACAATGTTTGGACGTGTGTTGCAAATCAAGGTGTTGTCGTAGAGTAGAGAAATACGGCAACGTTTTTTTAACGTTGTCGAAAGTTTTCGGCAACGTTTAAAAAACGTTGCCATAGAGATACGGCAACGTTTAGTAAATGTTGCGAAAGACAGCCTACGACAACGTTTGGCAAACGTTGCCACAGCTATATACGGCAATGTTTGGCAAACGTTGTGAAAGACAGTCTTTCGTAACGTTTGTCAAACGTTATCTTACTTTTTTTTTTAACAACAACAAGTTATGCAAATAGATTGACAAAATTGAAAATGCAACTTATGAACAAATTTTGGAATTGCATAAAAATTGATAATTTCATTACAAATATTTAATCCATACACTTAAACATTAAAATGTAATACATCACCACCTAAATAAAAAGAAATTCCAAAATGATTCACCATTCTGTTATCGAGACATCAATGGTAAAAAGAGAGACATCAAAAGTACCACCTCCATGATAAAAAATAAGCTCATTCTTCTCACCAACACTGGTTTCCTTCTTTTCAAGACCATAAGCAATGGCAGCAGCTGTTGGTTCATTGATGATACGCATCACATTCAGACCAGAAATTACACCTGCATCCTTAGTTGCTTGATGCTGGGACAGTGATCACAACGTTCTTTACAGTTGAACCAAGAAATGCCTCAGCAATTTCTTTCATCTTAATTAAAACCATAGAAGATATTTCCTCAGCTGCAAATTGCTTCTCTTCACCTTTGTAGTTGACTACTATCATTGGTTTATCACCTTAATATATGGCTTCCAAGATCCTGCTAAAGTCCATCTTATCTTCATTCTTCACTGAGGTTAAGCACAGTACAGATGCCGTCTTCTTATGGACTATCTGCACGATGGCATTTTACGGAACATTATAATGGGCTAATATTACCAAAAATCACACAGCCATAGACCTGAGGCCACTTACATGGTTGAGACAATATTTCACAATGATTGGCTTCTTAACCTCAGGTGTTTTTCCTTCAGCCTCAGCTTGAGCTCTTTTTAGAAGCCTTTCTTTCTTTTAAGCTTTATCCTCAGGCCTGTATTTGAGAAGCATCTTGAACAAGCTCGTTGCTACATATTGAAAAGCAACCAAGTTCAATATCATGAACATAAAATTTTACAATGGTTCAAGTACAATTTAATTTCATTTTAAAGCCAAACAACAATAAAATTTTACTAAAAGGCAATGGAAAGAGGCCCTTAATAACCAGGGTAGATCATAGCTGAGTTAGTGATTCCAAGACCACAAAGCCCAACTACAATGTAAATGCTACTTATCCTGTCCTAAAAACAATTCTCTTTACTCAACCTCATAACCAATAGTATATATTTCAGGAAGGATAACAAAAACAAATTACAAAAATTACCTAGTTGACAATTTAGCAAAGAAGAATAACAGTCAGAATCTCATAAAAAATTAGCAAATACGGACAGTAAATGAAAAAAAAAACGAATATATACAGAGAAGAGGGTATAAAAATAGACCTAATTTCTTGTCGAGGGTTTTCGAGAACTGATGAATTGGTGGCGAGACCTTAAGGCATTGCTTCAAAATCATCTTCTTGCGCCGAATCCTCACCACTTAGCGAGCTGCCCACTCAGACCAAACAAAAACGCGATAAATTTCTTCCCATCCTCTGATTAAACCCAATATTTTTCCCGGCTTCTTGAATCAAAATACCAACAGTCATCAAAATCCCTAATTAGAAAACCCTAAATCATAAATAAAAAAACACAGACAGTCACACAGTGAGGAAAATCGAAACTTACGCGACGGGAGTTGGAACGGGCGAAGCTCGGAAACGGAACGTGTGTAGTGTGGGAGAGTGGAGTCTGGGACTGCGGGAGACGGGAGACGAGAAATGAGGACGTATTTTGCGGTGGAATGGAGTGGTGGTGGTGGCCGATGCGAGTTTGAGAAGGGAGAGAGAGAGCTCGAGAGTGAAATGTGAAGAAATGAGAGAGGTTTTGAGTTTTTTCCATTTATATTGGAAAAAAAAAATTTGGCAACGTTTATTATAATAAACGTTGCCAAAAGTTAGTCTCACTTTTCACAACGTTTATCAAACGTTGCAAAAGGTGACTTTCAGCAACGTTTGATAAACGTTGCAAAAAGTGAGACTCTAGCAACGTTTGATAAATGTTTCTAAAAGTAAAACTTTTCGCAACATTCAATAAAAGTTGCTAAAGGTGTCTATCGCAACATTTTTCTAAAAAACGTTGCCAAAACTCATTTATTAATACNTACTAAAATGTTGTCAAAAGACCATTTTGGCAACATTTGTTGACAAATGTTGCATTTTTAATGTTGCAAATGACTATTTTTGTTGTAGTCAATATATGGAAGAAACTAGAAAGAGGTAGAAATGAAATGAAATTTAATATATATTCATATTAAGAAAGCTTAGAAATTTTTAACTCAAAATTGTCCAATAAAAGAACTAATTGCTAGTATGAAGATTGCAAATGTATTGTAGAATACTAGAATTGAATTAGAAATTTAAAATGTAGAGAGAATTGTGGTATGGGAAAAACCGAAGTTATAATGTAGATAGAATTGTGGAATGGGAAAACGAAGTGGGGAGGTGGTGTTTATAGGAATAAAAATCATTTTTAAAAGGTCAAATATAACAGTGTGCCAACGATCATATTATATTAAAAATGTAATCATAGGTTGCCCCAACAGTCACATTGGCTTCAGTGAGCTGAGTTGGTGTTGGGTTTGCCAAATTCTAAGTTGCATGGTTTGGTGTATTGGACTTTGAAGATGTCAAAATAAGATCCAAGGAGGAAAATAGAATTGACGGTGCCAGCTTCACTCCTGCCTACCACTCGAGCAGTAGGGCAAATGTTTTTAGCAGATTACTAACGTTCGCCAGCACTCGAGTAATGCTCGAGTGCCACGCTCGGCCCTAGCCTAGCGCTCGAGTACCGCGAGTATTTGGAATTTTTCTTGTTTTGTTATTCCACACATTTTTTGACCTATTTTCTATCTTTTGAAGTTACTCGAGTGCCACGCTCGGCCCGAGCCTAGTGCTTGAGTGCCGCGACTATTCTGAATTTTTCTTGTTTTGTTATTCCACACCTTTTTGGACCTAGTTTCTATATTTTGTGCTATCATTAGGATTTGACATGTACCCCTATAAATAACACACTCTTTTTTACAAGTTAATTCATTACTGGGGTTAGAATCGTGTAGGAATACAATATTGTTGTAATTTCTCTCTTCATTATAGTTGAATAAAATTTTCAATTCCTCTTTCAAATTAAATTCTTGTTTCTTGTATTCTTGTTGTTTACGTAGTTATGAAGTATAGTACAACATATATCTCGTCCCATTCCTAATAGTCGGATTGATCCTAAGCTCATTCCTATTGGTCCAAAGCGGCCATGAGCCAAGTTTAAACGAGTCGAGCCCACTAATTGACGAGCGGCTTGATCAATTTGCCACCCCTAGGCGGAACCACTTTGGTATGGTAATTTGGTAAAAAATGAAACACATGCATGTATGTATGATAAGTGTGTTTTCACTCTATCTTAATTGGTGCATTTCTTTACCCCCAAGGCCAACAATTAGTAAATAATATAATATTAGCCATTTTAAATGAAAAGATTGAATTACTTAGACGACTAGAATCACTAGATGATGATGCCTATACTTGAATAAGGTGCAAGGAAACTATTGATTTAAGAAAATGAGGTGATAGCCTCGTCTTATGCTTATATATATATATATATATATATATATATGGTTAATAATTTTAATCTTCAACAAGTTTATTCGATGCTTGATGTCCAAAGCTAAATAAATTGAAGAGAGTGGTAACAAATTATTCCTATAACCAACTTCAAATTCATTTGGAACAGTATTTAGTGTGTATTATAGTATTTTCGAAGTTTTTGCATTATTACTTTGTTTTATTTTTAAATAAGTCTCGACTTCACTAAATTAAATTCATGGTTCTTCACCTACTTTAACAATTACGTAATTAGCACATAATATCCCCACATTTCACTGTTATTGTGGAAAACGTCCATACCTTTCTTTTTTTGACATTTTCACCCTTATTTCCACATTTCATTCAACAAAAAGTCATTTTTATCCATTTTCTCAATTAAAAATTATTAAATGACGAAAATATAATTCCCTTTAAATAAAACAAAAGGATAAAGAAAAAACTAATTACAAACATAGTTCCAACTTTTTTGAAAAGCTCAAATGAGTCTCAAATAAATTATTAAAAGGGCAATTAGCACATAATCTCCATACCTTTCACTTTTATTACGAAAAAGTTCATACTTTTTTTTTTTTTTTGGCATTTTTTCCCTTAATTATAATTTGATAGTGCAAACCATCATTTCTATCAATTTTCATCTAATTTCTTAATAAAAAAATTGGGATGACAAATATATCCTCATATTTAAATAAAATAAATAATTAATTAATTTCAATCATAGTCCTAATTTTTTTTTTAAAAAAAAGTGCAAACGAGCCCGCAATAAATTATTTAAAATTTATAATTTTTTTATGAAAAGAGCAAACGAGTCTCAATTAAATTTATTTAAAAATTTAAAATTTTTAAAAAAAATTAAAAAGTGCAAACGAATCCCAAATAAATTATTAAAGATTTAGAAATTAAAAAATATTTTTTTTATTTAAATATGATGGTATATTCATTATTTCACAAGTTTTTATTGAGAAATTAGATGAAAATGAATGGAAATGATAGTTTGCACAATCAAATGTATAATTAATGGTGAAAATGCCAAAAAATGAAAGGTGAGGACTTTTTCGCAGTAAATGTGAAAGATATGGACATTATGTACTAATTACCATATTAATAATTTATTTGAGACTCATTTGAGCTTTTCAAAAAAAATTGGGACTATGATTGCAATTAATTTTTTTCTTTTTTCTTTTGTTTTATTTAAAGGAAATGGTATTTTCGTCATTTCAAAATTTTAATTGAGAATATGGATGAAAAAAGACTTTTTGCGCAATGAAAGATGAAAATAAGAGTGAAAATGCCAAAAAAAAAAAGGTATTTACGTTTTCCACAACAACAATGAAAGGTGGGGACATTATGTGCTAATTACCCTTAACAATTTAATCATTTATAAGTTTCTTCATTTTCAAGCACATATTTTAATAGACTCACAAATATTATCCATTTTTATATGTTTATAAATTATATCGTTATTAAATTATTTCCATAAATAGACTAAATAAAGTAAGAAAAAGGTAAAAATCAAGATCATATATATGTATTTCGTACAACTGGTGTGTGGACAGTGTGGTGCCACTGGTAAAATGAAAAATCAGCGTGTTTTATTATGTGATGGAAAATTTGTAATTGAGTCAGAATTGAAGCCCTATTTCTCATATTTCTTTCCTATATACATTTTTTTTTAGATGAGTGGTTATATTAACACCACAACTTTTATAAATACACTATATTTTAATTACATTAAAAATCATTAATTTTTATTGATTATCACACTTACAATTAAACCTCGATAAAGTAATACCCTCGGGATCGGAAAAAATATTCATTTAGCAAGGTTATTTATTTATCGATAAATGAATAAATTATTCATTTATCGATAAATAAATATTTATTATTTTAGAGAGAGATTTTCAATATAAAATATGTACATTGTATGTTGTAAGAAAAATCAAAAGATACTAATCAAAGTATTATTTGAATTTAGGGAAGCTCAAAAGTTTTACTGAAACTTAATGTCTCTAAAAACTAAGTTCACGTACATAGCAAATGAAAAGGTTTAGTTTT